GTATTAGTTCTAGTAACAGTATACTAACTTTCTCATCTGTTCATACAATCTGACAGAAGTAATTACTGGAAAATGTTAAAGAATGAAGGAAAACTGTTTTACTGTTGATTAGGAACTTTTATTTTATATAATGAATGAGAGCTTGCCACCTAATAAGGTTAAACCCACTTATTAAGGCTATCTGACAAAATAAAATTCATCTTGTTTCATTCTCGTAAATTTATTCAACATTTATTCTCTGATAAAAAATCTTTACAAAATTTGATTGCAATTATTATTGATGAAACTTTTCCACTTAGAAGCTTTTCTAGTCATCAGTCAGCTCTTCTTTTTCCACTTAATCATTTTCCAATGTTTAACCACCATTTGCTGAAGTAGGTTTGTGTAAAATTTCCAGCATCATATATATATAACTTTTTAATTATATAGTGACAAAGTGTAAGGTAGAGAACTCCTTTATAAATTTTCACTCTTGGTCCTCAATAGTGTTTTCCTTTACTTTTGGGTGGGTCTGAAGGCAGGCTTCTGCAACAAACACAAAATTAAAAAAATACTTTGAAAATTGTTAACTAGAAGGTAATTTCTATTTCATTCTCTGAAACATTGAACTTTATAATTATCTCATAAATTCTGAACTAGTATTGGTACTTTGAAGTTTACTAAGTTAATACATACACACACAAGCTTTAGAATCTATTTCTCATACATTAGTCCTTCCTTTTAAGTCATCTCAATGTGTTTCTATTTTAAGGTTTACTGTGTTAAAACCAAAAATTACATATTATATATTAACAATAATTAAATTTCAACACATATCCTTGATGCATTTGAAAAGTAGAAGATTTATGAATGCCACCTTTTCTTTTCCTTGTGCCTTTTGCCCTTCACTTTGTAAGCATACCACAACCTGTAGTTGCCTGCCTTTTGCATGATTCACTGGATTGTTCCCCACAAGTTTGGCCACCCTAGAAGCCCATGAAGATAACCTGCAAAGCCAAACAGGGAAACTAGTATAGAAAAGATTTGCTATAATGAACTATGATGCAACTATGTTTATTATCTACACACCTACACTTTACAATATATTTAAACCATTAACTAAATTACTTACTTTTTTTTTTTCCGAAGGAATCATCTTCTAACTTCTTATCAAACTCCTCCAGCTGGTCAGGGGTGTCAATAAAATGGCTTTGGAAGCACATCCTCTAGCATACAGTTACTATCCCCTCTATTTCTTCCTTCACTTGCCATTTGGCAAAGGAAGGTGGTCTGTCGCTGTTCATTGGCCAGGATGTGGTCCAACTTCATCAGTACACTTATCTGAAAGTCTGTTCAAGAAAATGCCTCTTTGACAGTTTGTCAAGTAATATTTGAAAATTTTAAAACTATACACTATTGGCAGAAATACACAATTTTAATCATAAATTACTGCTTATATAAAACAAATGCAAACGATACTGAATTACTACTCTCTTGTGCTTTTGCAGCCAGTGGTTGCTGGTGAAGTGTAGACTGTGAATGTTGGTGGGCTGAGATCAAAATATGCCAGTGGGGTGTGGACAGTCTCCTGGTAGGTTGATAGTGAGGTCTGCTGTCATAGTAGCAGAAGGGGTAGTGAAGACTGAGGGCAAGGACACTTGTGCTTTCTTTACAGTCAATGCACCATATTCATCTGAAATGTATAACAAAAACACAAATATTGGTAATGCTGTCATGCTAACTTACACGTTTCATCTTATTTGCTATGTTTTTAATCACAATATATGATTCATTGATTCTATAGAATTTAGAAATCACTTAAGAACTTCATTCAAATGTTATACTTTACACTATTAGTATTAGTATTACACTATGTCTATAAATTATACTAGTGTAATGCCATGCAAAAAGTTGCATATTTTGCTTAAGTAACTTGATTTGAAAATTCAACAAATTTTCACAAATCAAAACAATAAAAACATTTTATAGGTCTGTGCGTGTCAAATTACTGGTAAATTTCAAAAACACGTATTAAAAAACCTTAGAACGAGAAAACTTATCAATACACAATTTTAAATTTTACATCCAAGGGTGGAGAACAACAATCTAAAAATATTGAGTAATTCAGAATTAGAAATTGAAAACTACAGAACATAAAAGATTCAAAAATCTAAACACAATTGTAATATAGGTATTTGTGCTAAATTCTTTTTGTAATAAATCAAGTGAAATAAACAATAGTGATGTACCTTGAGTTGTCTATACAAATATTATTAGTTGGTAAGAAGTGAGAACTTTGTAGTTTCACGTATTACTTTCACCCAATAGAGCTGGTGCTCATTATACCATTTGGTTTTGTGTACAATATATCATTTAAGTATGAAAAATACCATGATCAATGAAACCATAAAATTTAATGATCAAATTTTATCTTTTAATTAAAATGTAATATATTTGGTATCTTCCTGTATGTATATTTTTTGTTAAAAGGTATTGTTACGTATCTGCTTGTTTGTTAATTTCTGGTATAAATTCTTTCTGAGGAACTTCAGCGATACAGGTCCTTACTTAATTAAAACTAGTTTATTCTTTCTTGATGCAACTATTTAGTACACAGAATTTCCAGGCACTTT